GCGGTCTCGAGGTCCACGGCCCTCCCTGATCCCTAACGCTCAGTGGGCCTCCGTGGCCGGCTCCCAACACGTAGGCAGTGGCCAGGCTAGAAAGCGCCCTTGGTCTTGCCCGGGAAGGGGACGAGCAAGCCTGTGGGAGGACAGGAAGCGAGATGTCACCTCCTCAAGCGAAGAGGAATCCCTTGTGTCGGCACAGGCCGGAATCACCCGGCTGGCTGGTTCTCAGAGAGAGAAAAACAGAACTGTCTTTGCTCTGTGGATTTCCCCGGTCATGGCAAAGGGTTGGGGAGGGATGGCTTATCCCTAGCGCCTTGCATGGTGGTGGAGTACTGGGCGCAGGGGCCAGCCGTACTGGGTTTGGATGCTGGCTCTGCTGCCCGAGAGCAGGGTGGCCGTGGGCATGTCACTTCCCCCTGGGCCCTCAGCACCCTCATTTGAGAAATGGGCACAATGGCCCCATGTTATGACGTCTACAGGATTTAGTGAGACCAAGGAAGGAGTAGCCACGGGCTGTTTCTCTGGGTCTTCCCGTCCCGCTGCAGCACTTGATACAGTGCATCGCAGCTGTCCAAGGGGACGGCAGGATTGGGGCCTGAGTAGGTCCAGATCGCAGGACCCTTCCTGGGACCCTTCCTGGGAGCCAGCCTGGTGGTGCTGGCAGCATCCCAAGAAGAAGCCAACAGAGGGGCCTCCTGAGAGCAGAGATGCCTCTGGGTTCCTGGTCCCGCTGTCTCCCTCACCCGGGGAGCCCCCCCAGGATAAGGGGCTTCTGGATTTGCCACAAAGGGGTAGGGGGAGCGTATCTGTCTTTGAGAAGATCCATTTAGGACCAGGAGAAGCGAATCGATTCAGCATGCTGTGGTTTCTGGGCTTGGCCGCACGATACTCCATGAGTCCAGAGCGGCAGAAGGCGCCTACGTGGCCTCTGGGTCCCAGGGCCTGGGCACAGGCCAGCCACACGCTGCCATCAGGAGACGGGGCATGGGCAGGGAGGGTTGGATGAGCACATGAATGAATGAATGGACATGCAAGTGGACGAAGGGACACGTTAGTGGAGGAAGGAAGGATTGAATGGCCGGGCAAATGAATGAACGGACACCAGGCTCCCCAGCACATAGCGCCCTCCCTTTCTGGTCCTGTCCTTGTCTCTCATCTCACCTCCCGCCCACGGCACCCCCAAAGGCCCGGTTGCGTCTGGTCTTTGCTGCTGTTCCTTGAGCCTGGCTCCTCCCACTGCCTCCAGGAAGGCCTTCCTCATCCTGAAAGCCTCAGCCCAAACACCCCTCCCCCCACGGAGTTTCCCCAGTCCCCCTCTGGGAGGGGCACGTCCCTCTGGCCTTCCGCCCTGCCATGCCCCTCTGACTCGGTTGGGGCCTCAGGCACTGGGCTGCCCCAGTCTCCCCCCCCTCCCGTGGGTTCCTTGGGGTAAGGAGCCTGCCACGTGGTCAGAGCGGGCCAGGCTGGCCACTGCCCACACTGGCCTCCAATTGCCTGTCTGCCTCATCCCTCCTGGACTCTCCTCGGTGGGCCTCCCAGGGCCTGGATGGTGGCCCCCAGTCACATCAGTCAGAAAATGATGTCTGGGTGACTGGTGGCCCCACAGCCTCCTCTGCGTACTGGGTTTCACAAAATCACAGAGTGCGGTCTTCCTGGAAATCAGATTCGCTGGTCCTGGCCTCAGCTGTGAAATCCACGGGACAGCCCCACGCCTCAGTTTCCTTGTGTGTGATACAACAGCAAGCATCCTTCTTTCTGGTCGGAGAGGCAGGGGTCAGCTGGGGAGAACGTTCTGGGGAAAACAGTCCCTGCATTCTTCTCCTGGATTCAGCTCCTGCCTCCCCAACAGGCTTTTCACGAGGTCCTGGAGAGGCAGCGACTGACGCAGAGCCACCTGGAGGAAGAGGAGAATGTCAGAGCCACCGAGGCCATGGCCACGCTCTGCCAGGTATGTGGCTATGGCTGGGAACAACAGAGAAACCTCGGGGTCCGCGCCTGCATGAGAACCTCAAGTCCTCCAGGCCGGGGTCCCCAGAGGCAGGTTCAGTCTCACCTTGGCACTTATTGGCAGGTGACCCCGGCAGGCCACACTGGGTCCTCCACCCTGTCCATGTCAGGAACCGAGGAGGTGGGTCTGGGCACCTTCCATTTCTAGGGTGCTCAGGGCTCTCACCACCAGCTTCCCCTATAGACGAAAGTCTACGGGCGTCAAGTCGCCCAGGATGAGAAACAGGCCCAGCCTTCGTGGGTGTCATCGGTGTAGAGCGGTGGCAGGGAAGGGACGCTGGGCTTAAAGTCAGGAGGCCTAGGGTTCACGTGCCGGCACCCCCTCCTTCTCCCCGTGCGACCTCATGCATTTCTGGACAGGGAGGTGAAGCCTGTTGTGTTTGCCTGCCGCCTGGCTTTGAGAGGACCGGAGAGGGCACCTGGGCCCCCCCGAGAGGCAGGGCCACGGGACACCGTGATGAGCAAGACAGAGCCCCTGCCTCAGGCGCGGCATCTGGAAAGGCAGATGTGTGGATGCCTGGCCACGAAGGCGTTGACACGTGCTGGGGTGGTGGCTGGCACGTGGAGGGGGGTCAGTGCTCGCGCTGGAGTGCCTGGGTCTGCGTCCTGGCACTCCTTCTTCCTCACCGTGTCGCTGCAAGAACGTTACCTGGTCTCTGACTCTCAGTTTCCCCCCCTGTGAGATGGGGACAGTGACGTTCCTTCTTCACGGTGGTGAAGCTGTCAGAGCCACGTGAAAGCCTGGTGCCTCCAGGTCCTTGTGTGTTGTGAGGACCGAAGGTGCTTGAGACCCTGAGACAGCAGTTGGCACTCAGGGCACGCCCTGTCCACGTGGGCTCCCACGGCGACATCCCTGCATGTGAGGACAGAGCAAGGGGCGGAGACCCCCCAGGGGGTGAGGGTGAAGCCAAGGACAGCAGTCCACAGATAGCAATGCCTGGGCCAAGCTTTGGGGGAGACGGGCCCCCAGTAAACAAGGACTCAGGCAGGGAGAAGCCCGCGCAAAGGCGGGACGTGCTTATCAGCGTTGTCGTGAGGCCGCACTGCTGCGTCGGGCTCTGTGTTAACCTGCTTGGGCTGCCATAACAAAAGACCACCGACTGGCAGATTCAATAACAGGCATTGATTGTCTCGTGGCTCTGGAAGCTGGAAGTCCAAGATCAAGGTGCCGACATGGTTGATTTCTGGTGAGGGCTCTCTTCCTGGCTTGCAGACAGCTGCCTTCTCACTGTGTCCTCATCACATGGTCTTTCCTCTGAGTTCGTGAGAACATGGAGAAGGAGAGAGGTGGGTGGCCTTGGGCATGTCGCTTAACCCCGGACCTTCCTCATCTGTGAAATGGGCATAATAGCACCTATACCGCAGCATTGTCAGGATTCAGTGAGACGAAGGAAGGAGTAGCCATGGGCAGTTTTTCTGGGTCTTCCTGTCCTGCAGTAGCACTTGGTACCGTGCGTTCCAGCTCTCCAAGGAGATGGCATGTCTGGTCCAAGGACTGTGTCTGAGTCCAAAGATGGTTCAGGACACAGGTCCGGGAACCCATCCTGGGGCCAACCTGGTGGTGCTGTCAGCACACCAAGAAGAAGCCAGCAGAGGGTCCTCCCCTTTCTCCCAGACGGAGACAGAGCGATATCTCTGGTGTTTCTTCCTTTTCTTTTAAGGACACCGGTTCTGTAAGATTAGGGCCTCGCCCAGCTGACCTCATTTAACCTTAATTATCTCCTAAAAGGCCGTGGCTCCAAATACAGTCACATTGGGGGTTAGGGCTTCAACATAAGAATGTGAAAAGGGGCACAATTTAGTCCAAATAGTGTTCCCCCCAATTTCACGTCCATCTGGAACCTCAGAATGTGACCACTCTTGGAAATAGGGTCTGTGCCGATGCAATTCGTTAAGTTCACTCAGTTAGGTCATACTGGGTTAGGGCGAGCCCTCAATCAATGGCTGGTGTCCTTATAAGAAGGCCAAGAGAAGACGCAGAGACAGGGTTCAGGAAGGCTGTGGAGACAGAGGCAGAGATGGAGGGAGATGGCCACAAGCCACAGGACACCAGCAGCCGAAGAGGCAGGGAGGCTTCTCCCTCTGAGCCTCTGTGGGGGAGCCTGGCCCTGCCCACCCCTTCATTTGAAACCTCTGGCCTCCAGAGATGGGAGAGAATATATTCTGCTGGTTCCACCACCTGTTTGTGGTACTTTTTCATGGCAGCCACGGAAAACTAATCAGGAACTGGTCCATGCTGAGGGCCAGCCATTGTTTTGAGTGCTTCCTGGGTATTTGATCATTTAATTCCCGTGAGAGTCACGAGGCAGGCTCTGCGTTTTCCTTCCTTCGCAGATGAGGAATGAGGACGGGTTTCCTTGAGAAATATGCAGGGTGGGACTCAATGTGTCAGAGTCCCAGGGCCCCCAGGTAGGAAAGGAACAACTTTGTCCCATGAGGAGTCAAGACTCAAATCCCCTGGAAGAAACTGAGCTCCAGTCCTCCTCTGAGTGCTCACATGCTGCGTAACCTTGGGCTGGTGGTGATACAGCCTCTCTGTGCTGGCTCTAGTATCTTGTTCAAGTTCTGTACAGCCAGGAAACAGTGAAGATGGGATTTAAAATAAAGCCCTTCTAACTTCAGTGCTGACATTCTTCCCCCAACCACACGACTCAGTGGCAACTGTGTGTCGTGGCAGTAGAGACCAGGCACTGGAGCCAGGCGGCCTGAGTTCAAATCCCAGCCAGGCTACTTCCTGGTTGTGCCATCTGGAACAAGTTATCTAACTGTGCCTCAGTTTCCTTAATCTTGGTGACACTCTGATGCACAGCAAAGTTTGGGAACAACTGCCTTGGAGAGGGTGGGCAAGGCTCCAGTGTGCTCACATGGGGTGGGGGACTGGGAGTGCCATGGATGCCCCCCCCCACAGCCGCTGGGCCCACCTGGGACCTCTGGCAAGGGACGGTTTCCAGGAGACTTGACGCGTCACACCTTAAGTCGTGATTAAAATCCAAGGTCTTGATCAACTGAATCCTTCTCTCCCCTTAGAAGGCAAGGGTGAAACCCCCACGATGATTGCCGCAAGAGGGGAACCAAGCCATGTGTAGGAAGGTGCCCAGCCAACTTCAGCGGCACTGGTGCATATGTCCGTTTCCGTGACGGTTTGTCGATGTCGCCCACGTGACCAGAGCCTCACCCGCCTCTGCAACGCCCTTAGGATGTTGTGCATCTGGCGTCTCCGTGCATGGGTCTGGTGTCTGGGCCCATGAGAGCTTGGGCTGAGAAGGTGAAGACGGCCCTTTCATCTGATATCAGGAGAGGCTGTCAGATGCACACAAGAGGCACCGCTCCGCTAGAGGAGGAAGTGCGTGGAACGCAAGGTGTTGGGGAAAGTGAGGGTGTGCGTGTCATTCTGTTTGCATCTGCATGGGTGTTAAGGACCATGGCCACAGGCTTGTGTCGACTTGTCTCCAAAGTCAGTCTTTAGGTGTTTCCTGAGGTTGGCTTTGTCATTTTATCCCGAACCCTAAGGTTCCAGGTAGCTTGGTTTCGATGACATTCCTCGGTTTGGAAATTGTTGCCTTTGGCTTTCGGAAGCTGCTTGGGCCGAAGTTCCAGGAGGAAGCGGAAGTCCTCCGCTGCAGAGGGGACCGCTGGCTGTGCCCTCCTGTCTGGGCATCCTCGGGCCAGAGCCTGTGATGCTCCGAGCTTGTTCCTTTTCTGTGGAGTGGTGACGGCAAGCCTGCTTACCCTTGTGGCTGCGTGGAGCGCAGGAGAGCCCGTCTGAGGTTGGGCCTGTCACGTGGGAGGTGCCCGGTGAAGACTCCCCGCCCACGGAAGGCGCTGGGCCTGGCCGAGACGAGCCCAGATCTGGGTCCAGGGCCTCGAGTGTGAGCCGCTTCCTCGCTCGCCAACCAGGACCAGGGAGAGCTCGTTCGTTCATTCGTGTGTTTATCCATTCATTCAGCAAGGGCTATCGAGCACCACTCGTATAGCACCCGGGCTCAGTCCAAACAAGTTACGGGACTCGTTTTAGATTGTGTGATAAAAAAGCAGAAGAGTCATCAGGATAAAATCTGCGTGAGGTTCTCCTGGATCAGCCTGTGCTTATGAATGAAAAGTACATGACCAATTCACGGGCCCTCCTCTCTTTGCTTAGTCACGAGTTTTTCCAGGGTGCAGACCGCGTTGTGGTCTACATTGTGAGGCCAGTTTTTGTGTTGAGGCTTTGTTTTGCATTCACATTTGTTTTGCGCGCGCACGCGTGTATGTGTGTGTGTGTGTATGTGTGTGTGCGTGTTTTACAGGTTTTGTATTTCAAGAGCTATTGTTTGTTTCTTTTGTGCCTTTTTTGCCCTGGGAAAGCCAGCACACCGGGAGACTTCTTGGATCAAAATCTATGTTTTAGATGAGTGTTTATTGTAACGGCCATGTCCTAAATCTACCTGCTTGAGTGGAAAACACACTTAACGTAGAAAGTCAAAATAAAGGGCTCATTGTTGCAGAGCTCAAGAGGCAGGGGCATGCTTGGTGTGGCGGCAGCGGCAGCAGCAGGAAGCCAGTGTGGGGTGGCGGGGCAGCCTGGGAGGAGGCTGGAGGGCGAGGGGACGAGGCCGGGGAGCCTCGCCTTGGAGGGCTTTGCAGGCCATCCGCGGCCTTTGCTTCCCCTCTGAGGGAGACGGGAAATGACTGGCGTGTTTTGGTTAGGGAAGTGGCTTGCTTTGTGTTTACAAGGCTTTCTCTGGTTTCCAGGCGGAGGAGGGCTGGGGAGACAGGGCACAGGGAGCCCTGGGGGGACGCATCCCAGTGGCCTCCAGAGGAGATCTTGGAGGCCTGGAAAACCCCGGGGTCTGGGTCTGATTACTTGGTCAGCACGCCCACTTCTTCCTCCGTTAAAGTGGGGCTAAGAGGGTTTCTTCGTCTGGCTAGTACGAGGTTCAGCTGGGTGCGGTGGCTCATGCC